GAACGGCAATTTTTCCTACAGTGAACGTTTAAGAAAAGCTTAACAGAAGCGACAAATGGCCATGGTGGGCCAGCGGTTGTTCCTCAGCACACAGCCCGGGGGTCGGGGGGCACCCACTGCTGGGCCACAAGATCAACCCGTCACGGCCAGCATTTTACTGCTTGAAGGAAAGAGAGGAGGAAAACCTCCCGAGGGCCCTGCACACAGTCAGGGAAGATACTTTCCTGGGTTGCAGGACACAGGCTCAAGCGTGTGTCAGCCCACCGGGCCCATCCGGGCCCAACGCCGGATGCAGGGGCTGAGCAGCGGGGTCCCACCGCCGGGAACACAGTAGGTTCCGGCTCCAGTTCACTCATGTAAACCGGGCAAGTTACTTCTCAGCACCAGACCTCGGTTCCCGCTGGGGAAAAGGCAGGCGCCCTCCTCGGTCACCGCAGGGTGGTGTGGCTGGCTTCCTGAGAAGTGCCCGGCTTAGCGGAGGCTAGGGTCACGCGGAGCGGTCCCGTCCTTCCACAGTGGACGGCGGCCTCACAGGGAGGGGAGGCCCCGCTGCAGGGCCCGGAGCAGACCGGGCACCAGACCCGATCTTCTGGGTCTAGCCCAGCCCGCTCGTCCCAAGACTCACAAACAGGCCACCGCCTCACTTTCTCACTTTCCCGGACCCGTGAAACCCTTCCCAAAGCCCACACCCTAGCAGCCGCGCGCTCTTGGGCGAGCACAAGGGAACAAGTGGCTCCCGCCCTCTCAAGCAGGGGGGCTCCTGGCTCGACACCAGCTCCTGGCTTGTGCTTTTAGGTCAGGCCGTCCCAACCACCCCAGAGGGTGAGTATTCCGGCTCTCCCTGCTGTGCAGACAGTCACCGAGGGTTATTCACAGAACGCCTGGTCTGCTCGCTCAGGCGAGGACACACCCACACCCCAGCCCAGTGTGCAGGGGCCTGTCGCCACCCTCTCTTCCCCATCCCCCAGCCACGGGGCGGGCAAGGCTTTCGGGCAGGACCCCGCAGACCACTGGCCGCCGGGACCCACCCTCCACCCAGCGTACGCACCTTCCCTTCCATCCACAGGCTGCAGCAGGAACATGTCGGAATGCTGCGTGCCTCTGTCCACGTCCTTCTTGACTCTCTGCAGAAGGAACCGGGAGTCTCGTAAGAACTGGCCAGGCGCCACCCACAATGTCCCACACGGTCCCCTCAGGCTTGCGGTCTCGCTTCTCGCTGGGAGGCCGGGTGGGGCAGGGGAGGACTCGGGAGCCTTCCTTTGCAGCAGCTTCAAATAAAGTATGAACCACGACCAGGTCAATTCTGACCTCACCGAGCAGACAGAATAAAAAACGTTGGTATCAGTTATTAACTGTTCAGAATAGATTTTAAATTAAAAAACCCACCGTCCTAAAGACTGCCATCGTGCCAGGAACATTCCAGCACTCTGTTGCCGGCGAGTCCATGGCCTCTGCAGCCAGCCTGGTCTAGGTGGGGGGGGTTGTACCGGAGCCCATGGGGACTTCTCCCGAGGCCGTAACAAAGCCATCTTCCATCGGCAACCCCCACATCCCCGACCCCCTCATCTTCCAATTTGTGTGCTCAGGCTTCACTGCAAGAACCGAATTAACGCTCTAAGCAGAAGCCAGCCGGCCCCGGACTCTCTGCGGCGGTGCCCTGCAGGGCTCACGCGGCACCTGCGCCTACCTACAGGTTACAGTGTCTGGAAAACTGTGCAGCAAAATGGCTTTCCTGGGGGGAGGGCTTGGTAATGTTCATTTCATCTTTGTATCTACCCTTTAACTCCCTATTTCTAACAAATTTGAATTTCAGGTGAGGTTTACATTTACAGACAAATTGAGCGCCCAGTTTCCCTACTAATAACGCCCTCCGTGTGTTACACCTGCCGCTAACTAAGGATGAAATGCTGATTAAGCCCTATTAATGGAAGTCCACGGTGTATTAAGATCTCCTCGGTTTCCCCCAGTGTCCCTTCTCTGTTCCAAGGCCCCGCCCTCTGATGACCTTCAGTGGCTGTGAGGTGCAGGTCAGCTGTCCCTCTACGGACACTTGTCTGACCTTCTCTCACGACTGGACATGGGCTTCTGGGTTGTGGCCCCTTCTCACCCATCACACCGGGGGTGCGTGTTGTCACTGTGACTTATCACTGCTGCTGACCTTGGCCACAGGGCTGTCAGGTCACCGCCCCCCACCCCCGCCCAGCTCTCCAGAGTCCTCCCTGGAAGGACATCACTCTGCACAGCCCCACGTACGGTGGGGAGTCACACTCCAGAGCTCAAGGGCAGAGTGGCTATGCAATTTATGTGGAACTCTGCACAGGGACTTGTCTGTGCTTTCAATCATTTGCATCTAAACGTACAGACTCACGGACTCTGACGTCATACTGTGAGCTACAATCCAATCCACTTTACTCACTTGGTTGCTGGAACCCGGTTCCAGCCTTGGCCATCGGAAACCCTTCCAGCGGCTCCTCTGTCCCTCTGACGCACCCCATCGGTGAGGGTTTCCCATAAGCGCTGCCTCCGGTTGGACAAAATGCCCCAGCCTCGCCCTGTACACCCCCAGCCCCAGACTCAGCCATTTCCCCAAGGAGCCCTGGGTCCTGTCCCCAGAGGTGGGGTCAGAAACCAAGATCTGGGCACCGGCAGTGCTCGCGGCCGCCGGGCGCCTTTACCTCCGGGCCCTCCCGGCAGACAGAACCAGGAGACACACACACACACACACGCTTCTCTTCCTCTCAGCCACGGGCATGTGTTCACTGGAGACAGACAGCTAGTTTCCTTCTGGAAAACAAAGCCCACGATCCCGCTGTCCCTGGACTGGACATGTGCCCTGGATGTCCTAAGGCCAGGGAGGCTCCGTATGGGCCACATTGTGGGGAGCAGCCTGAATCTCAGGAAATGAAAACTAGGGGATAGCTCAGGTCATGATCTCACAGTTTATGGGATCGAGCCCCACGTCAGGTTCTATGCTGACAGCACGGAGCCTGCCTGGGATGCTCTCTCCCCCTCTCCCTGCCCCGCCCCCACTCATGCTCAGTCTCAAAAATAAATAAAGATGATTATTTTTTTAAATCACAATGAGACCCCACACATCCACCAGCAAGGCCAAGAATAAAAAACTCTGGTGGGATCAAGGGCTAGCAAGGGTGTGGGGCAACCACTGCGGGACGGGGTGTGACGCTGCACCCTGGGACCCAAGCAGAACCACTCCTGCGTCCCTGCCTGAGAAATGAGAACGTAGAGCCATACGGCGACCTGCACGAGAATGTGCATCGCAGCTTGGTTCATAACGGTCAGAAACTAAAAACAGCCCTGGGTCTGCAAACAGAAATTAGAGAAACCACCCGGGGTGTCCTAGTGGAAAACTGCTGGGGGCCAAGAAGCGAAAGCAGCTAAAACACGCAACGGGGACGGATCTCGAAAGCAGGCCGAAGCGATGCCTGTGCTTTTCTCTAAAACACGCCCAGAAATATGGGTGGAGAGCAGCACAGACGTGAACGACCACAGAAGCAGGGACGGCAGGCATGGACGACAGAAGAATCCAGGTAGGGGTACAGTAAGTGCTCGCTGAGTCTTAAGTCACATCGCAGAAAATTTCAAAATACGAAGGCTAAGAAAGAGCCTGCAGTGAGACACGACCTTATCCCTCTCGGGCTCGCTGACGCGTGCAAGCTGGAGCGGTGCCGCCTGGAGGCTGCAGCCGCTGCGAGCGGCCCCTGCGTGGACGACACACCCCAGAGCCAGCAGGAGCCACCCTGGTGTAGGGCACCCAGACAGGTGTGCAAGAACATTTACTTCTGCGTGTCTGCGCGGCCGGAAGAAGTGGCCTGTTCTACACATGAGCCCTCCCCATAGCACTTGGGATCTGTGGTCAGGAATCAAGACCCCCCCCCCCCCCCCCCCCACGCGGCTCATCCCAATACGGAATTATTCACAGTCCCGCGTTTTCAGAGCACATGGGTTAGAACATAATACGGCTGCAAAAATCTTGATATGTTCACGGGGGAGATTGATACACATCCATTTCTACTCTAATAAAAAGTGTTTCTATTGAGCCAACATGCAATCCTGTTTGGAAGTTTTCATTCTTGGTGACAGTGGAAAGGGCAATACAACAGAGTATGTCTATTTCCATCCACGCCGCATCTTACCTGCTTCGAGTAGCCCCCGTAGATGACAATGCTGCCCTGGGGAGTGACAGACATCTGGCAGCCCGATCTGGGGGTGGGCCCAGTGCCCGAAGGGCACAGTCTACTCCACGTGAACGTGTCCAGGTCAAAGGCATACACGTCATTGTAGTAGATGTAATCTCTGGTTATAACATGGTGACACAGAAAGGCAGTAACATTAAAATGTGAACCTGATTAACTTCGAGGTAAACTTTGTACCACCTGAAACAAGTTCCCAGTTGAAAGTTGAAATCCACATGAAAGGGCTGGAGGCAGATGTGAGTTTGTATCTGGAAACTAGAGATAAGGCTAGCTTACAGAAATTCATTAATTTGCCTGGATCTGAAAGCCTTCCTAATCTGGAAGTGATGCTTCCTTACACAGTTTACAAAACCACAGTCTCACAAATACTTGCATCAGGTTACCATGCGTATAAGCTTAAGTTCATGAATTAGAGATTCAAGTGAATCCTCAGAACGGAGATTCCTGCAGCTGGGTCAGGGCCGTGAAGAGACCCCGAGCCGGGCAGGGAGCCGAGCCGGGCTGAGCTGAGCGTTGCGGAGACTGACAAGCCAGAGGCATGGCCCTGGCGCCCCGCAGCGGGACAGCGGCAAGGGGGCACGTGGCCCTGGGACCTAAGTTGCAAAGGACTCAAATGCAGAGGGCCTCGAGAAGGGGCCCCGTGCGTGGGGCGGCAGCAGCCCGGCCCGAGTCGAGGGGGGAGTGCCGCCTCCTGGTACCATTTCACGGACAGCCGGGGCAAAGCCAAGGGGCCTCGGGTCAGAATTACACGGGAAGAGGAAGAGGTGCTCCCCAGGTACTCAAAACAGACAGCCAGGCTTCAGGTGGGAAACTCTACCACAGTCTGAGCAGTTTTGTCTCTCCTACTAGAGCTAACCCAAGTCCGGCCCCCTGCAGCCAGCACACGGAAGGGCCAGCCCAAGGCCGGTTTGTTGCGCCGCTCACTTGAATGCTGCGCACAGCGTGGGACACGGGACCAGTCGCCTGCAGGGTGGCCTCCCTGACTGGCACCCAGAGATGCGCCTTCTGTAGGATGGCTTTTCGTACATGAACTGAGGCGCTTGGAGGTGTTCAGTTCTAAGAAGACTTCGTTACATTCTCCCATCTCCTCGGATTTCACACTGCAGGTGTGCAGTAAAAAAATTCTATCCCGCACATAAATATCAACCGTTATTTGGTTTTAAAAAAGCCCAACTAACTTGTTTAATATGGAAGGTTTCTTTACTTGTATCTCCTGGTGTCCTGTGTGTTTGAGACCTTCATAATTTTAAGCAAGATTAACAGGTAATACTTTGAGAACAGTTCTGATTTTGGAAAAGCTGCAAATCACAACCATCGTACAACTTGATCCACTTTATAACCCGTGCCTGCTTCAGCGGCACATACACCGTAACCTATGAGTTCCAAGGAGCAAGGCCTGTGTTGGTCTCCCCAACCGTTTTGGGGCTGTTTTAAAAAAAAAAAAAAA